TATGTATATATATATATATATATATATATATATATATATATATATATATGTGGACGCATCGAATTGTATGTGCACAGCTGATGGTATGGCCCCAAATAGTCAGGCGATTAACTGGTATTCCGTCGGGATAAGGAACGAGTCTTCGTCTTATCGTGAATTAAACACATCTAGTGGATCGGAGAATGTTTGCCTCTTTTTTTTTTTTTTTTTTTTTAAGATTATTGGCTATCATAGAATTCCTCCATCGAGGTTTTCGTTATTATCAATTGACGTAGATTTTTATGCATTCATAGGAAATTTTAAAGTGCACAGTTGCATAGAATAAGTTGACTGTCTGTATTCAGTGTGCTTCAATATCAAAATAAATTATGCAAAAGGACTTGCACTTTTATTTCTATGAATTTTTACTAAATGAAGTGTTTCTTCTTCTTCATTGAAAAGATATAAGAAAAACTTGTAAAAATAAGAAGTATTTTTACGAGCTTCCTCTTTTTTTATTAAAAAAGAATTTCATAAGATTAAAAATGGAAAGTAGTATTTTCATGAACTTTGTTAAAGAAAAATTCTTACAATAATTTTTTTGTATGATATAAACTTGTAAAAATAGAAAGGATAAATACTTCTTTTTAAATGAAAAACTTTTTCATGAAAATGAAATTCTTTTCATTCTTAAAATAAATTTATAAAAATAAAAAGAAATACTTTGTTTTAATAAAGTTGATTAGGATGCTTCCTTTTATTTTTACAAGCTTTTTTGTATAATTTATTTTAATATTAGGATACACACAATCCTCAAATATAATTTGAAGAAATACAATAGAGGGCAAGAGAAAGTTTCAAATTGAAATTTTTATTGAATGTTTTTCAACATTTGTCTACTTTATCATATACTGTTTTATCAAATATAATTTCTAAAATTACAGCGTTTCTTCCCATTTCATTCCTTCAACTTTCTTTCTGTCGTCGCTGTATATAAAATATTCAAAGCACAATGCCTCCAATGCTATTTAATATGTGAAACAATTTTCTATCGATATTTTATTTCCTAATATTTACAACTATTTTCGTCAATGTATAAAATGCGGAACAATTTCGTATATTTTTACGAATAGAATTTGGAGGAAGATTTATTTCAGATGCCAAATATTATATCAAGTGTTCCACTTTCTACGTATATATTAACAAACCAACCATCCTTTCTTGAGAATCGGAACGTTCCTCGTAAAATCTGCAAGGCATGTGCATTTTGCAGAAACGTAGACTTCGCATCTTCAAATTCTCTACAAATACATAAAAGCTCGCAGTCTAAGTTACCAATGTCTCCGTATTATCTGTGGAAAGACTTTCGTCTTTCATTTCTTTTCACGAAATTGCTGATTTACCACTCGGTGCAGAGAGACATCTACAATGGCCAGTAATCGCAATGGCGCGTGTCCTTAGCTTTCTACGTTATCTGTCATTGCCTGTTTATCATTACATTACAAGCTACGTAAAAAAATGATCGCGTACGAGTTACGAGAAACCGATATGGGCCGAGTAAATTGACTCCTCGAGGGAATTGATATCGCGCCGATTTCTCGTCTCGTTGGATCACACGACGGAATTTCTATCGAGTTCGTTGACGAATCGCAACTTACCGTAGGGGGTCTCTTTCTTCCCTATTTTAGGATCTGAACTATTTTTACCAGGTGATTCGGTGAGAGGCGGTAGCGGCGCCAAAGTTGGAATATCCTGCGGTATGGAACAATCCGGCCCACTCCATCCAAGGTTGCAATAGCACTTGTTCATGTTAGTGCATACCTACGATCAATGAATTTCATTTGAGATTCACCAGCGTAGTTATTATTTATCATGAAATGGCTAATTCATTGCAAATACGTAAGTAAGAACAAGCCCGACGATAAGTCCGCTTCGTTCGAATTCCAATGTCGTTATAATTGAAATTCAAGTAATATACAACAGTCACCATTTTATTACGAAGGTTTTCTAATTCTCTGTAAGTAGAAGTTAAGAGAGAAATGGAAAACGATTGGAAATAAGTCCAAGTAAGTTGGATATTTCTGAAAATTATTTTCGACTTTCATCATTATTTGAATCTTTCTTTCCTCTTATTTCGTAGACATTAAGACGATTAAATTCCGAATTTTATGTTCAACGTTTTGTTTCCAGCGAAATTTTCGCCAGGATTGCCAGACCGATCAGAACAACCAGGTTTATAATTTTCTAGAGTGGTCGCATTTCTCGGGATTTAAATGTTCTTCCTTACAAGATATACACGAACGAAAGTTTGTCTGTTCTTCGTTGTATTTATCAACTTTTCCCTCGCGCTCCAATCTCTCTGATTGCAATTTTCATATTTTATAGCCGCCGATTTAGTTCCAACGTCAGCTTCGAATGAAAAAGCATACACACAAAAATGATAAGATTCAGTTTCGTGATGAACGAAACCAAAAGAGCCGTACGACGATTAAACAGTAGTCGTTTTTTTAGCTTGACAAGTTTTACTTACGCCGTTTCCCGAGCATTCGTTGTTATTGTGATTGCTGGGACACTTCTCGTTGCCTATCAGCGGGTAGAGGCTCATGCACGTTTGGTTCACGCAAATCTACAACACAGTAATCAAACGAGTGTTACACGAGCTTTCTTTCCTTGTATTGTGCACACACACACACACACACACATCGTCCCTTTTCCGTTTTGCTAAAGTCAACGTATAGATTGAAAGCAAACATTCGTTTGTTTGCTCGCGATAACATCTCGCCTCACTTCATACGGTAGCTTGGGAATTTGCATAATCCGATTTATGACAAGGATAATTACCAAGGGTGAGGGGGAGAAGTAGGGAACTGTTTAAACGTCGCGGCGCGAAAATTTGCCTTTGACATTCAGAGATTAGAAAGTTGCATCTTACCAAGTTGTCACCGCAGGATGTCCCGTCGCGAACCAACCCCATGCCAGGCATCTCGGACCCTTCCACTTTCCCGGTCGTGGTCCTTGTGAATAATTCATGCGAACGTTATTTAAGATTCTTGGTCATGGTTACGAGCGTGTCTTAAAACGCACGACTACGACAAGTAGGCGAATTTTTCTTTTCCACGTGTAAATTCGTGTTTTCGATAAAAATTAGCTTAACTTTACATAAGTTTAGAAAAGTTGTGTCAGTATAGGCGAGGTTGGTATTAATATTCTTCGTAGCTGGTAAGGTCACGGATTTTTTAAAAATGTATATAGATTATAGATCGATGCAGCTCGACATTCTTTATAAAAACGTATTAATTTATGTGCTTTGAAAAATTAATTTGGCGGAATATTTCGACTTCAATCTTATAAATTCTCGTGTCTACATTATCCTCGTAAATTGCACGAAGTTAAAGTTAAAGTATCTTCTAAACTAATAATTCTATTTTCAAATTTTAAATTAATATTTCCTGTCAGCAGTTAATTTTAATGATCAGAAAATAAAACTTG